CATGCTAGTCATCAAGTCACACATCAGGTGATATGTGACTGGAATGCACTAGGGTTAATGTCAGCATGTTTTATTTCATGTTTTGTCATATTACCTCAAACCCTGCAAATGGAAGTGTGCATGGAATCATGGGAAGAAATGGTGTGTATTGTGATAACTGTCATAAAGGTGATTGACGAGTCATACCTATTTTCAAGGAGAGTGGGTTCTACTAGGTGTGCTTGTAATTTACATAACAAAGGGTGTTTACAACTTTGGAAGGAGAATTGGAATCTACCAGGTGTGCTGTTATTTGAATAACAAAGGATGTTTATGATCTACTGAGTTGCCTACGTGACACAGCTGCTAGCAAGATTACATTCTGATTGGCTCATGTGGAAACCCAGGTGGTGTCAACTGCCTATAAATTGGACAGACTAAAGACAGTTTAGTTGAATCATTTCAACTTTGTGTCCGTCACTTCAACTTGCTTTCCTGTGTGTTCTGCTACAATACGATATTAAGGCTACAACCAACATTCTGTGAGACTTGTATGAACTGCTCTGCGATCTCCTGCTTTCAGCGGTGCCCTCCAGAATACCAGCGTTCCTCTGCAAGCAAGACTCCTGTATTTGTGTTGCAGAAGCCATTGACTATCGTCCAATAATATATCCTGGAACTGTGAGTTGTCACCAATGCATATTTCCCTAAGCAATCCCCTATTTTAGTGACTTTATTCGTTCTATTATTTTGTGCTTTATTTCTTGTAATTATTTTGAGAGGTATTAAAGCCAGGAGCTTTAACTCGATATTTTGGTGTATGTGCATTTCATTTCCAGTACTATTGTCTTGTCTACCCCATACTAGCAGTGAAAGAACCCCCTGTCCAGTGTGAGTTCTGTGGGTGGCCCTCTCAATTGCGATAAGCAGGCCTTACACTGTGACAGTCAAAGTTCATATGGTATTGGGGTGCAATGAATTGCATAGAAGATAAAAGCAGTGTTGTGATGGTGTACTGTATGTACAAATACCTAAAATACTTGTAAGTTTAATTTGGTTTATTGGTATCAATATTAATCACTAGACCCTGAATTTAGTTGTAGACTGTACTCCTGGTCACTGATCTAAAATTTCAAAGTACAACTTTGGGTCTGCATTATTAGACTTGTTGTAGTCTTCATCAGTAAAGTAGATGTATACATATACTCTGCTCTATGTGCATTTACAATATTATGGTTAAATACCTTTTCTTTTCTCATGACATGAATGAATTGGATCAACCTCTTCTGATATTTTAATCTGAACAGCCTGCTAATAAAAAAAAAATCTTAGTTTATCTGAATTATTAATTATAATTGTACATATTTAATAAGAACAAGTACAAAGACATCTTCCAAGTGATGGAAGAGATAGTATAGCGCCCTCTATAGACCAATCTGGAAATTACTAGATTCCAGAACATGTCTTCTGTGTGAGCTGTCAGTGTTTTTTTGTGTTTTTTTCAAAATATAGTTAGAGATTTAAAATAAATCATCAAGTAAACAAAAAATTGAAAACGTTAAATTTATACACTCATTCATTAACAAATTACTAATCATGATTTTACTTGCGGCAGTCCTAAGAAAATATGGTAATCATTAACCGTCAGTGCAGCAACAGCACACAGGATGGACGTGCGACAATTTAATAGGATACTAAGTCACACATGTAGTATCACATGTTTAGGTGTCATACAGTTAAACTCTCCTCAGATGACATGTGTAAATAAAGTAATCAAAATTTTGAAAAAATTTAAGATAGTAATTTGTCTAGTTTTTGAAATCAAATAGTAAATTGTCATCACAGATTGAGATTCACATAAATGAAGTAAACTGATATATTGGCAATACTAGTAAAGTTTATCAAGCTAACTCACTAGTAAATCAGTTTGCCATTTTAAAATCATTTGTTTTCACATACCTAAGGCTTGATTAGTTTTATATCATATTAAATAAAAAAAAAAGTTTGGAATACAAGCAACAAGAAGAAAAATATTGTTATACAAATAGTGAGTGCCTAAATGACCTAGTACATATAGATGATTACAAAATTACCTCTTTGGTATGATCATTTTCTTTCTCTAGAAGTGTTTTTCATGTAAGAGTCTTTTTTCTTCTAAGTTTAATCTTGCCGCTTCTTGTAATATTGTATCAATTTCTGTAGTCAGTCTGAAAGTAATAAAATAATGTTTACAAATAAATCTTGTATCTGAATTGACAATGAGTAAAATAATGAGTCATTAAGTTGTGAAATCTGCTCACAGCAGGTCAGCTAATGGATATCTATTTATCTATTTATTTTCTCTGCAATTATTCAACATATTCACTAAAGCTTTGTTTCATTCACTCATTGATGTTATCAATTCATATTGTTCTTGGTCTGTGCCTATTTTCTTACTTCCCATTTTCATCTAGTAGCATTATTTGCAACCCATTTACTTTAATCAAGTGTTCAAAATATTGATGCTTTCTATTCTTGTTGAGAGCTAGTAGTGATTTTTTTTTTGTTTTGCAATATTTAATATTTCTTGGTTTATTTTATGTTAATACATTTAAAATTTTTCTATACAACCACATTCCAAAGTGATTTCTATAGTGTCCACATCTCTAAACCATACAATAACATCTTAACAGTCTTTCATCATTTATTGCCTCTATATTTATACTCTAACATCTTCATTCTCTAGATGCATTGTTCAATGATGATCTTTCAGTCTATATTCTACTTCTAATTTCAATCTTCATTCTCTAGATGCATTGTTCAA